AGGCTTTATGATGCCTCTCAACCACCAGGCAGGCACACAAGGCACTTTAACACTATGCTTAAGATATTAGTTGACAGAGCTCTAATGCAGCACATCTCTTTTTCGTTCGATGGTATTTTGTTTGCCGCTCGATCAATTCACATGTTGTGTTTACGTCACAATAACCGATGTAAACAATCTGGTCCCAGATTTCCGCTCTATATACTATTTTCCTTTGACAGCTAAGATTCAGTGGAATACACTATAAACAGTCTGCCTGTTTGCTGTTCTACAAAATAATAAGGTTTCTTTTGTTTTTTGTTCAACAAAAGATCTCCAAAAGATGCCGCTTGGAAAACTGAGCTTTTTGCACACGTTATTTCTCAAGAACGAAGAGCACCCCAGCCCAAAAAAATTCAGAGCAATGTTTGTCAGGTAAAACGAAGCCTACATGCCAAAATTCAGCTATTTTTGAACACTTTCAAAATGGCCTAAAATTCTAGGGGACGTTCTTGCACGCGGCCTTTCAATTAGTAGCGATTGGTATTGGAAATCATTTTTGTCCTTTTACAAGTTACACTGATAAAATGTTTGACAAAATTTGTCTGTAATGGTTTTATTTGAGTCATTTTATCATAGCCTGCGTATCTTTTACAATAAAATAACAAGAACAGAAGTAACTAACAGAAACATTTTGGGCCTTACATCTTTCTTTGCTAGTTTTAAACACCGGAAGAAGTTCAGGCCAGAGTAGCAGTGTAAAACCCTCCAGTCTCATTGCAGCATCGGCATTGAGATGAAGCAAAAATAAACAACAGGGTCAGTGTTCTAGTGATTTCAAATTTTTGCATTAGGAAACAAAATAATGCAAGAATAAATCTCAGAGTAGGCCAGAAAGAAAATATAACCAAGTAGCATAGCAGTAATCACTTTGATGTGATAAATATTGACCAGGAACAATACAGATAAAAGAAGATGTAGTTTTCAGGATGCAGTCGATAGTGATAGTTGATGGACAGACATGCCAAGATTGTGCTTTAGACCCCAGAAGACATGGAGAAGAGATCACTCCACCTGGACTTTGAGGCCTTAGTTTAAAATCATCATGTCATGTTGATAAAAATGCTGAAGATGAATGCCTGTCTCGTGTTGTTCCAGGTATTATTTTACACAACAGCTGAAAGCCATCTTTGAATAGTCCAGGTGGTTATTGTCAAAATCGATAGATTTTTCCCAATCGATAGGTATAAAGAAATGTTTCTGTGAGTTCGATTGTTATCAATTGATAGCAATCGGCGATTGATATTGACTGAATCGATTGATTTCCAATATCGATTTTTATTGATTAACTATGCCTGGGTTAGTCCGGTCAAAAGTCGCATTACAGGCAAAGTTTTGCAAGAATAATAACAAATGTCAAAATAATTCTAACAACAGGCATTCAAGGTGGAGAATCAAAATGATAATCTAGCAGTCTTTCAGTGAATAGTCACTGTAATTTTTTGGCTGATAGGTGTCAAAGTTCTTGCAGCAAAACTAAAGGAAAGGATCTAGGGTCATCTAGGAATAAGCCAGGAATGAATGATCATAATTAATTAATTTTGTAATTGCAGAACTTATTTTTATTCTTATGATAATTTATTTCGTACCACATCCTTTGGTATTCACTCCAAAAGTAGCCTGCGAAAATGAAAGCAAAGAAGAACAGCTGTGTTCGCAGGCTACTCCAAAAGTAATTTACATAGTAGGCTTCGTTTTCAGAGGGGGTTGTTGTTGTCGTAGTTGGTCTTCAGGTCTTCGTTTTCGAAACTACATGTACCAATTTTCAAGGCAATTATATCTTGAGATAGTTAGATAGACACACAAACAGACAGACAGACAAACAGACCGACCAAGATTGTCAGACAGGTTATAAAGGTGCCACATAGTGTACTGATAATGAAACTTACTAAACATAAACCGCTCATTCCAGTACCGTGCCAGAGATTTTGTCGTCAATGGACCAGGAGTGTTTGAAATCTCCTACAACCCAGCTGATGGTAGTGGGAAACTCACTACTGAGGTCTTTGAGTTTACAGGCACTGGAGGTGTGACCATGGGCATGTATAATACTGATGAGGTATTCATTTGAAGATTCAGGTGGTCTAAATTTGTTTTGTTTTTTCCTGTGACGTCCACATATTTCTGTCAGTGTTGGCTGGTACACATGTATTGTAGGCATGAAGAAAGACAGTTACATGTACATGTACATGTAACCCTGTAAAAGATTTTGATTAAGAGGGGGGAGCTTCTCTTGGGCTTTTGTTTTTATTATTTCTGTTGTCCTAACAATAAATTATAACAAACTTCAGTCTTAATTTGGTGTATTTCTACATTGATTTGGTTAACATGGTGTATGGAAGACTGATGAAATGTTCATGAGAAATGCTAGGTATAGCTCAGAAATGAGACTCTTTAATAGAGAGGTAACTGAAATTGCATTTTTAGTCCATCAGGGATTTTGCCCATAGCTGCTTCCAGTATGCACTGAGTAAGGAGTGGCCGCTGTACATGAGCACCAAGAACACCATCCTTAAGAAATATGATGGCAGATTTAAGGACATCTTTGAAGAGATTTATTTGAGGTAGTCAGCTCAATTGTAATGATTATAATGATATATTGTTGCCTGTTGCTATTAGGATTTGAAAAGATGTGTACATGTGACCCTCCACAGGAATACAGGTAAAAAGGTGATGACATGGGTATGCTCTTTTAACATGCTAGACAAACGAAAATTCCTTAAACACATTAGCAGCGTGTTACAATGCATAGCTCGTTAAAATTTTCTTTTGTTTCATATCACACAGTAAAAACAAAGGAGAGTTCATTCTAACAAAAAAAGCGCCAAAATTACAGAAGCAAAGCAGCGAGTAAAATAACACACCAAACCAGTGAAATGGCACACTTTTAAGCAAGCGAAATGGCACGCGAAATGGCATGTTGTGTTGCCGGGTCTTCATTTTATAGATCCAGGCAGCCCTCTCTAAATATGAAGACCCTACTGATTTTGCATCAGTTGACATCTATTAAGCAAGGGTCTTCATTTTGTAGTTTGAGCCTGCCCTTCCTACAAAACAAAGACCTCATTGATTTCACATCAGTTGACATCTAACAAAGCGTGTGGGAGGGTCTTCATTTTATAGTTCGAGCCGGCCCTTTCTAAAGAACGAAGATCCCATTGATTTCGCATCAGTTGTCATCCAAGAAAGCGTTTAAGCCAAGGTTTTCGTTTTATAGTTTGAACCAGCGCTTTCTATAAAACGAAGACCCCATTGATTTCTTGTCAGTTGGTGTCTGAGGAAGAGCCTTGACCCAGTTTGACTGTCTCTGGTTTGATAGGCCTGTTCAAAAAAAGTCTTTGTTTTTCGGTCTTAAGTCATAGGTCTTAGGTCTTTGGTCTTCATTTTGTAGACACCCAGCCTCTTCCAGGCATTCAGGTAAGGGAGTGACTCCACGATTCCTACACTTATCTCAGCAAATTGCTTAAAATCGCCATTTGTAGCGATACCCTTTCACTTCAGTAGTAGAAAGAAATCCTCCAGAGCCATGGTAATGTTTTGGTAATGTGAGAAAAATGTTACCGCTCTTGGCCATCTAAATTTCACCTTAGTTTATGTTGACCACAGGTAAACATCCATTTCATCAAGCACTTAAGAGTGCCTGCCTGTAAAACTCAGACAAATTCTTAATTTCGCAGCAAGGGTCGAAAATTCGATTTCGCTGATATTCTTATGGTAGATAGGCTAGGCCATGACAAAAACTAATGGATAGTTTTTTTGGCAAAATATCCTTTTATTTCAAAGAAATATGCAAATTACCAAATTCTGTCAAAATCATCATTTGACGCACCATGTTATTAAGCAAGTTTGAGAGCCTCGCATGCAAAACCACATCATTCTTCCATCTTTAAAACGCTCAGATATTTTTGTACAATGTTTAAATGTGTACTGGGTTGATTTTAGGGAATGTTGTATTGTCTTTTTGGGTGCAAAATAATTAAATTTCGAAGACATGTATTTCATTCACTTAAAAGTACTTCATGAATATAATTGAAGGGGTGAGTGCAAAACCATGCTAAGTGACGATTTGCGTGAGAAAAAAATTTTCACAAAAGGGCTTGAATTTTTGCATGTGGTCTTCAATGTAATAGAAAAACGCAACCCTGTATTTTTGTCGCTGGTTTTTGCTTCGTTTTCAAGTTATAACGTATGCAAAAATACTTTAAATACTCTTTAGGAGTTTATTTGTTGAATACCAAACAGGCAGACTGTTTATAGTGTATGAGGTCAAAATCAAATCTCACAGCGTCAGCATGTTTTAAAGAATCAAAATGTGTTCTGAAACTTCGAAGGCAGCTGATATACCGTAATCATGTTATCGGCGTTTGAAGTCAGATCAAGCCAGGCAGCAAAGTCCAAGAGCAGTTCTTGCCCAAGAAAAATACCCTCTGGTGAGTCATGGCCCAATTGCCAAGCATTGCTAACATCAAAGTTTGGAAAGCAAGAACTGGTTTTAGACTTATAAAATTTGTCTTGTATCGACTGCCATGTTTTCCCGCGCACGAGGTGTAAAGACCCTTCCCNATAGGATTGTAGTTGAAGATTTGGAGAAAGAAGTTAATTCAGTAATCAGTGCTCTTAAACTTCCTGATATCTGGGATATGGATGACTCTCACTCTGACTATGACTCAGACTTTGAGTCAGATTCAGACTGAACAGTTGCAGGTGTCATTTTATTTTCAAAACGGTCAACCAAGCTAGAATTAGAACTGTCAGTAGAAACAGTACAGAAATTGTCAAAGTATAAATTACTACTAAACTAGTGACCGGTGTAATCATCAAAATTCTTTAAGGAGGAAGAAGTTTTTGAAGATTTTGATGAAGAAATTAGCTATACTATCAGTTGAATGACAGCATCTTCTCATAGCTTTACGACCACACTGGCTTATCATGATGTATGGTGTAAATTGGTGTAAATTGTTCTCAAGTGCAACTTCGTTTTTTTGAAGTAAAACTTTTTCATTGCCTTTGACCTTTTCACTTTTGTCTGTAAAAGTTAAAAAATATATATTTCTTTTAATGGTAAATAATTATTCATTAACTTTACTTTCTCAAGAACGCTGGAAATCACATTTCTGAGCTTCTAAATTTAAAATTTTTCTGGGGGGCATGCCCACAGACCCCCCTAGAAACGGTGGCCTTTGGCCTCCTAAATAGTCACAGCCGCCTACTATTATATGGGCAGACACCTACTTCAAATTTTATTGAAAGCCCTGATGATGGGAAAATTTTTAAAAAACCTATAGGAGAATTTTCGAGAAAATTGCAGGTGAAGTTTCAAGGTGTCAAAATACTAGACTTGACTAAATGGTATTCTGGTCTTAAATAAATCTTACAACATGTAATTACTTGGAGTGAAAATCTCAGAGAAATTGCTCCATTTGACTTTCAGAAACATTGGCTGGATTATCAACTGGTGTGGGGTGTTATTTTGCTTTTTATCAAAAATTGCCCCTAAAATTATTAAATTTGGTGAGAATTAAAAGACACTCAATGAATTTTTTCTAGACATGGCCCTCAATGAGATTAATCCATATTCAACGTAATCCTGGAGTTCTAAATTAATTGGAACATTTTAAGACTGCTAATTTTCAGTGTCAACTCAGGAAAATATTGCGCTGATTTTCAGTCAATGCTGTTTGTTGTCTTTGTTATAATTTTGTCTTGCCTGGAATCACTGTGCTAAGGTACATTTCTGTATATCATGAATTCATAAAACACTTGCTTTCTTTCTGGTGATTTTCCCAAAGCAAGCTAACCTTTGCCAACTAGCACTACAATAACAATAAAATATATGTCACACTTTCACTCATCTCCCATTAACATGGCCACATCAGGGGTAAACGGTGAGCGCAAGCAGAAAATCACTATGCTGGATGTCTTGTTTATGTTCAGCATAAACATAAACATGTTTCTTTTTCTTTTTTTTTCGTGTTTATGTTTAGCATAAACACAAACAAGAAATTTATTTATTGTTGTTGTAGTACACCAATAACGTTTGATGTTCAGTCAGATTGATTATGGTGCTGCTCTAGTCGCTCAAAAGTTGAATAGTATCATTACTCAAAAATGCTATCGAGCCACCTTAATTACAGAGCTTGATTTGGAACGCAATTACAGAGAATGTATGGGCACATTCACATAATTACAAATTTCTCAGCTATAAAAATTTAAATCCTAAAACAAAATGAATAATTTAAAGCCTATAATGTAGAGATAACCTTGGTAAAATATCAGATCTATAGCATTAACACTCAAGCCAGGAAAAAAATATTTGTCAAATTACAGATAATGTATGGGCATGTCACATAACTGCGAATTTCTATAAATGATTTAATCTGAAAATAGAAATGATAGCTGTAATGCCACTTATACTGTACAAGGAAACTTTTCACCAAATATCAGAAGAAAAGGTCTAAAATTGGAGCTATAAAAATTATTTGATTATTTAATTATCTATTTTTATTTGTTTTATGTCTTGTTTGTGTATTTATTTATTTACTTATTTATTAACTATATAAACAAGATACACTCAGTGATCTGTGTGTGTGTTTGTTTTTTTGTTGGGTTCTTGTTTCTCTTGGAGAGGAAGCAAGCCTGTGTTGGTCAGCGGTTTCCCGTATGATTGTCGAGAGCACATTGTTGTAGTCCGCCATGTTAGATCGCGTAGTGAATAAAGTATAGTTCTCCTGCTAACACTGGCCTCTAGACTCCTGCAGATAATTTTTGTCTATAAGCAGGTCATTTGTCGGGCCAAGAACAACTTTTGACCAGAAAAAAGGCCAGTCTGGTTGGACAAAAATTATTTTTGTCGTTAGAAATTAAAAATAAGAGACATTTGAGACATTTTGGTATTTCATTGTACTCCCTTTGCCAAAATGTTGGTTGCAAATTTAAATGGCTCAAAAGTAAAGTCAACTGAGTGTAAAATTGATACTAGCACCAGAAAGGAGACCTTTACATTAAGTCAGATATTATTTTTGATAATACATTGTTCGTGGCTAGTCTTACACAGCTCGTTTCGTTGTCATTTTGTTGGCGAACGGGACTTAAGGCACAATGCCCAACGAGTTTGCCGAGCAGAAAGGTCTCTGATGAGTCCCTTTGCCAGGACGAAACGAGCTGCGTAACACTAGCCACAAACAATGTATTATCACAAGTAACTGTCAGGTATTATTTTACCTGTTTAAAATTGACAAATTTACAAACGTTTGTACCCCTAGTTTGCCTCCACTCACTTGATCACACATTTATTCCATATTTTCCCGGGTATCAAGTTTCCTGTGCATCAAGTTTCCCACAATGCCTGATAAGGAAAACCACGGGAAAAGCGATGAAACGATCTCCTGTGTAGACAGCTTGTCAGTGTAAGAACTCAACAATAACATTCAGAGACTTGAAATTGGCTGAAATGAATTCTTCGACTTTTTCTGAAAGTTTTGAATAATAGATGAAATTGGAATTTGAAGTGGTCGTGACTACAAGGCATGACTAATTTGTACATTCACGCTTTTCACAAAACATGTCTGTGATACGGACACTATATTTGAACCACAGACGTAAAAAAAAAACACTATGAAGAGCTATAAAGCTGATTTTTGATCATACGGACTAGAAAACAATTTGTTTACATTTTACCAGTTTTAAAGTTTTGAAAGGAAATGCATTCAGATAAGGTCGATAAACAAAACGAGAATTTGGGCTGTGTATTCAATTTTCCTAATATCTTACTCAGTTCAAATTACGACTAAAAAATAATTCCACAACACTTGGCAGATAACAAACAACAACATAAGACCTCAGATTTTAGTAGTTTTTCACAAAAACGTAATTCAGGCTAAATGGGGCTTCACAATCTTTCACAATGCCACCAGAAGCGTAAATTAACACAGCCTGAATAGTGGCATTGATGTGGTGTGTTTTACAATTCGATGTGACATTTGATACAATGCATTGCGTGTAATAAAATTATTTCTCAGAGATGGAATAAAAACAAAACTGATAACAAAGCTCTTCTGTGTATTATTGTAATATCTTTGAAATCATCTCTGTTTTGAGCTATTTGAACCAAGACTACGCTTTAGTATTTACAATAATGCTTACCTTCTTGATGACGTACATCCTAGCCGTCCGAAAAAAAAAAAACGATCAATTTGCTGCTGTCTTTTTGACATAACTCACAGACTTCAAATTAAACCCTGATATTGGAAGACAAAATTTCCAGAGGGAAACGGAGGATTGGAAAAGTTACAAAAACCTTTCCTGTAAAAGACAAAAGAATTCATGCAGTCATGCTGAAAACCAAGGAAGGAATGATCAACAGACCACTACAGAAACTTCACTTATTAAAAGAGCACAAAGGGCAAATTCTCAGTGATAGATTTCTTCTATTAGATGCCACTGAGGTTCAAAGAGACGAGAAACCCTTGTAAGTCCAAATAAACAAGGATCCTCAAGAAATTTAAAGGGTTACCACAAATGGAGGAGGATGGACAAGCCGATGCGTCATACATCTCATGATACAGGCACACATGCAGACGTCCCGGAAGACTTTAGAATGTTGATGTAATACAAATTGAGTGGACGTACATCTAGTTGGAGTAGAATTTTGCTTGATGTAAAATCATCACATGTAAAATCAACACAAGTTAGAAAATTCAGTGTGAAAGAGGAGTGGTGTGTTCATCCGTTCAATTGTGGCTGTACACCAGGAGGCTGATGTGCCTCCACATGTTGTAATAGTAGTGTGCTATAGAATAAACATGTACGTGAGATTACACAATTCAGCAATATGATGTTGGATCTCAAAGGATGTATCTTTGCAAAATATGAGTGTGTAAAATTAAAATCTGTAGCCCCAATTTTCCAAGTAACTGTTTGTCAATACAAATCAGCATTTGAAATGTTCTTTGTAATTTTCAGTTTTGGCAAAGTTATGACTTGGACTCTCACAAACCCTTCATTTTTGCACGATTAACTTGTTGCAAAAATAATTTACAATGAGGTGTGAGGATTAGTATTGGGGTTATGAAATTATAGGAGCACTGTTTTTGAGTCAGCACCCATTCCCATCGCATGATGAAACATAGGGCGACTTAACATCTGTGCAATTGAAACAAGACCTTTGTTTCCGTTGTTGTTTTTGTACTAGTATTTTAAAATGTTTAGATTAGACTTTTAATTACCTGATGTGTGATGAACATGTAAAATAATATAATTTGTTTTCATCAAAAAAATAAAATCTGCTTACAAACAATTTACAGTTTGTCAGGAAACAAATCATATAAACATTGAGAGACATGAAGTTCTAAAATTGTTAAGTAGATGATATTTTTTTATGTCAACTAGGTTACATGCTTGACCATTTGAATTAATTTCATTAGGTGGCATATGCCCTCAAGTCGCCTGGTGGATTTGTTTGGGCTGCAAAGAATTATGATGGAGATGTACAGTCTGACACTCTAGCTCAAGGTAATATCTTTAATTTCATAAAATAATCAAGTTTCCTTCACTTTACAAATCAGGTTCCTCTATGTTGGTAATTGCATGAATGATGAGTACAATTGTGGATTTGCACTACAACTGATATTAAAACAAGAAGATCTGTTAGGTCTTATAACCGCGCTTTTAAAATTTAACTGTTTTCTTAGCACTACAGTCGCAACGGAGTGCACATTCCAAAGCAGTCCTTGATGATTCATTGATAACTGTAGACACCACATCACTTGATGAACACAAACTGTATTATTGCACCATCAGTCGTACTCGTAGCCATTATGAAATCTCCAATGACGTAATGTTCTTAATCTGGAACTTTCTTCGGAATATGTAAGGGCATGAACGATATGAACGCAACAATAATAACACTATTAAAAGTCAGATTAAATTTAACTGGTTTTTCAATGAGTAAAGGGCTACCAAAGTAGTCACACGAGTCACTAATTCAAGAATTACGTTAGTCGCGGCTATCTTTAGTATGGTGGTTATTTCCCGACCAATGATGTAATCCTTGCATGTTCTGACAAGTTCTTTGCTCGGCTTGCAAATATTTAATTTTCCTTCCGATCTATTAACTCGCTGCGATGAAACAGCCAAAGAATTTACTTCAATGCCTAAAGCCACAAGAAATACTCGCAAAATTGCAAATAAATTAATGACCTTCGCTTCTGGCGAAATAAACTTGCAAAGTAAACACATCAACATGTGCCGCAACACGTCAGCGCATTCCATGGCTGACGTGATATCTTTTTTAGCGTATTTATTATTCCCTTTGAATCCAACTCTTTGATAAAACCAAAAGAAAATATATTTTACCCACAACAAAGAAAGCAATATACGTAAAATTGTCCATGTATTAATGTTTCAACAGCTTTTGGCGAATAAACATCACATGTTGTGTGACTCAAAATTTGGCAGAGAGGGAGTTGGGGTCTGGTCACCGACAAAAAAAAATAAACCACAGGTAGAGCATGAACTGAAACTGAAAATTCTCTCATAATTGCATGCATCGTGAGCCTTAATGCAAGTGCAGCAAAAATTCCAATTATCATGGGTAATGTTGATCATTAATTGCTTGACCTTTGATACAATTACTTGATTTTTATATGACCAAGAAAGTTACAAACTTGCTCTGCAGTGTAAATTAAAAATGACTGCCAATCACAATGACGAAATTTTCTCAGTCGTATACTGTATTAAGCAACCAGACAAATATAGACATGAATAAACACATAAATAATTAGTTATTTACTAATTCAATAATTTACTAAAATAACAAAAAAAAGAATAATAAACTGTTTTCAGGATCAATAGAGTAAATGTATCTAGGGCATTCTAGACCTTGAACTTGAAGCTATGTCTCTTATAAACAACTTAAGTTTTTGATAAATTCAATTTATCAAGTGCAACATAACCGTGACAGGTACACTTGGAGATTTAAATATGGGGCAGTTTCTGCGAGGGAAAGAAATGTTTTTGCAAGAATACTTTCAAACTGGGACGTGATGAAGTTTGCTTGAATACAGTCGGGTAAGAAGCTAAGGAAACGCATTTCTATTAAGCCGTACCTTCAACTAAACCAAGCATTGGATGGATTTCATTACATTTTCATTCTGTGAGATTGTTTTCTTGACCTATTATCAGTGGAATTAACTGGCTATATTGTTTAACAACCTCACTTTTTGGTGGAACAACCTGATTTTACTATGGAATGATCTGAGTATGGAACTATCTAACCATAATTTGATTCAATAAACTTACTTAAGTAACTTGTGACAGCATAGCTAGGTGGAGTTATAGCAGTTACGTGAGGAAAAAAATCACTAGCTCAGTCACTCAGTGGCTCATAAACATTTTGTGGTAAATCCGCTGACCAGTGTATTCCAACCATTCTGAGTAAAACGGCTTGCAAAGTGATGAACTGATCTTTCGCATTTAGCTTGCACATTTCTATTTTCCAATGCCTATATAAATGCAAACCACCCTTTACTAGCTCATGTGAAAAAAAGTTCCCTCACCAGGATTCAAACCCACAACCTTCAGATTACTGCAACTGAAATCTTACTACTTCGGCAAGCTGCAACTGATAAGTTATTCACGAGATGAAAATGGGTAACCAGTGGATAAGTGACCACCTTATATAGACTCAAATTATTCACAAAGTAAGCTATTACAGATTGAAATTGCAGTTGTGTTCTGCTGGATATCACTCAGTTTGCTCAGTTAATGACTTGTTTTACTGGCCATGTTATCTATTGATGGAAACTTTTCAGATGCTGGATGTTTTAAATTTCCCACTATCCACTATCACTCAGTGCATGGACTTGTATTGTTTGTTTTGAGAGAAAGTCATCTGGCCCCAGTTGTTGGAAGGCTGGATACTGCTATCCTCTGGATAAATATTATTGCTATTTAGTGCAGGATAAGTGTTAACAAAACAAACCACGCTATCCGCTGGATAGTGATTTATCCGGTGGATAGCATTATCCAGCCTTCGAACAACTGGGGCCTGATTGGTTACTCACAAAGCTTAAAAAGTCAGTCATTTCCAAAGTGTAAGAATTTTAATTGGCTTGATTCCTTCTGTTACAGTAAGGCTCGATTCTATTCCTTAAAGACAGTATTCGCGTTTAACTCCTGTGATTATGAAATTCTAGCTACGCATTATGTTAGTGTCAATCTTTCAACAATACATGTCTAAAAAATGGTTGCTCTAATGTCTCTTCATTGTTCAGTAGGCTCAGTAGGCTCGGTTTTCTTGACACTCCCCCCTTGACCAACCGCTCATTGTTGGTCAACAAGTCTTCTGATCATGTTTGTGGTGGCTGCTGCTGCTCATCTTGGGGGTCTTGAAGTTTCGGGGCGTAGTTTGGGTTGTTGAACCGCTCCGACATTTCTGTTTTTGGGTGGCTTTCGTGTGCTGACTTCTAGTGGGACAAGCTTCTGTATTGGTCTGCATAGCTTTAAATGCTTTCCCTTCTTGCTTACTACTCATAACACAGCACCTCGTTTGCAACCATCCCTGCTCTTGATTAGCGCTGTGACCTCTCCTAGTCTCCAATTCCATTATGGCAGATTTTTCACTGTGTATCTAAACCACGTCTCTGGTCTTGATCTTCCTGTCATGGTCTCCCTGGGTACCACAATGGTGAAACTCCCTCAGCCCGATAAGGTATTCTTTGGTCCATTGTTTCCGAAAATGTTCTGTGTCTGCCAGGGTGTCACACCTTTTGTTGTAGTTTGGAGGCGGAAGAGTGTTCAGGCGTCTCCCAATCACCAAGTGTGATGGCATTAATGGCTCTTCCGTGACTTCGGGGTAGATGAACATACAGTGTAAGGGGTTGTGAGTTGAGTACTCCCTCTACTTCGATTAAGACTGTAAGAAGTTCTTCATATGACAGCTGCGCCTTTCCAAGGATCTTGCGAAGCCTTCTCTTGACTAACTGGATCATACACTCATAATATCCTCCCCACCATGGTGCTTTCTCTAGATTGAAGTTTCAAGTGATGCCTTAGTTGGCGGCAAAATCTTGGGCTTTCCTGTCTCTGAATAGCTGGGCAAGGTCTTTATTGGCTCGCTTGAACGTTTTGGCGTTGTTGGATGTTATGGAGGTTGGTGTCCCTCATCTTCCAGAAAATCATTGAAGGCCTCTAATGAATGCTTCTGAGGATAAGTCTGGGAGAAGTTGCAGGTGTATCGCTCTTGACATAGCACATGTAAATAGGCTGATATAAGTTTTGGCTGTACCTCTGGTGGTCTTTGCAAATAACGGCCCCACGAAATCAACTCCCATGTGTGTGAAGGCAGTGATATCAGTGACCCTTGTTTTAAGTAGATCAGCTCTTGGGGGCCTTGTAAGGCATTCCTTCTAGTTTCTTGCAGATAACACACTGATGAAGCATTTTCTTCACAAGTTGTCTGCCCTTTGAGACCCAATATTCACTTCTCAATTCTGCGAGTGTTTCTTTTACTTCTCCATGATTCACCTTTCTTTGACAGGCTTCCATGATCAGTCTTGTCACGTGATGTCATCTTGGTAACAGAATAGGGTAACATGCTGCCATGTCCAGTGGAGCGTTCCCCAGTCTGTTTTTACACCTCAGAATGTTATCTTCTTCACTGAGCAAACCGAGTTGTTGCTTTAGGTTCTCAAAATTCTTTTAGTACTTCATAGGTTCCTGTATTTCGCAAATCCATAGGCCCCTTGCTTTACTGTTCTCATCTACCATCAAGGATGGTTTTCTGTTTTGCGGCTCTCTTCTCCGGTTTCTTGCTGCCTTTAAATTTCTGATAAACTTTAGGCTGAGGGCGGTCACTCTGAATAGTTTCGCAGCATCGCTGAACTGTTCGCAGTCAATTGCTTCTGTCAACTTTATGGTCTTGATGCGTGTAGGCTCTTGGGTCAGATTAACTGTTGTAGCTGCATGTGCCACATTCTCTGCAAAAAGCAAAAGGTAGAATAACATAAAAAAGGAGGTACGTAATACAAACAGAAAATGAGATGCCATAAAAAACATCAAAACAGCCCAAGAGATACTGCCAAATCAGAAAAACACAATGAAATAGCAAATGCGGCATAAAAACAATTTAGCCCAAAACACATACGGTCAAAACGACAATGCCAAATCAGGCAAAAGGTGCAAAACAAATGGAGGTCAAACTACTGACCAAAATGACACTGCCAAATCAGGCAAAACACAACGAGGCTGAACTAAAAGATCAGCAATGAGAAGCTGAGAAGTAGAAAGAAAGAAAAGAGACATGCATGGTAACCAAGGATGACAAAAGCTCACCTAAAATCTACCTGTAAGGCTAACATTCTAAATCTCTGGCAACCACTGAAGACCGAGGGATGCACCTTGTAAATTTGCCTCTGGCCGGGACCTTCCAACAAGAGGTCTTCTATACAAGGAAGCTTAAACACTCCCTTAACAAAAGACTTGAACTGGGAAGAGCTGTCATGCAAAAAGGGCCAAAAATTATCCAAAGGCCACTGTGGTCAATCAAAGTGCCGTAACCAGAGCACGATGAGAGAGCTCTAACATAAGGCACAGTGGTACTCACAGGAGGGCAGACCCAATTGTTCTCGTCTCGCCAATCCTGGGCCAAGGCGTCAACGCTGCTGCAGCCCGGGGAGGCAAATTAAGAATTGAACCTTGGAACCTGGGCGTTGTATTGCGATGCAAACCGATCGATTCTATGAGGGCCCCATTTGGCATCAATCACTTGAAATACAGAAGGATTGATGGACCAGTCATCTTTGTCAACAAATCTGCTCAGAAGATCTGCCCTTTCATTAAGCGACCTTGGGATCCATTGCGCTTCCAGAACGATGCTGTTAACATAACAGAGATTAAAAATGTCCATAGCCGGAGCCTGGAGATTAATTTTGGAGCTTCCGATAGCAACAATTCTGGCGGTGCCCTGATTATCAGTAAAGATTTTGACTCTCTTATGTTTCAATTGAGCAACGTAGGAAAGCAACACGAAAGAAATAGCTTTCAGTTTGCGGAACTTAGAACTTTGGCCGATATCCTCAGGTTCCCACATGCTGCTGACAACACATGCTGGAAAACACAACGGTATGGGTTGCTAATGGTGGCCTTATAGAATAACTGTTGAAGCAATCACTGTTGCAGTACCAAAATTTGAGCTCAAGTAGAAGACTGGGAGAAAAATGAATGGTGTTGTCCCATGRTGACCTGGTTTCAATGGCYAAGGACATCTGCCTGGTCAAAAGACGAGAAATCGGGCCGACTGCCAAAGCAACTCAAATGATATTACCAGCGATTCTCGCCAACTCAGGGAATGAAGAGTACCCCACCTGAATCTCAGAATCCAACAAGCCCTTAAGTTTGGAGACTTTCTTCTCTGGAATTCGGAATGACAATGAAATAGAGTCGATCACAAAACTGAGCTACTCGCTAATTTGCATTGGGGTCCAGTGCAACTTTTCCTTGTTACAAAGAAGACCAGATGAAGAAAGCTCTTTGCGCTAAATTAAGCTTGCTGCCACGGCGGAACACTTATCTGGTTGACTACTGAAACTGTCGTCTAGATAAATAAAACTGGTGTGCCCCATAGAATGCCAGCGTCTAACTAACGGGCACATCAATTTAGTAAAACAAAAGCAGGCACTACTAAGGCCGAAAGGAAGAACTGCAAAGGTAAAATATCTAACAACGCCGGAAAAAGGCCAAGCAAAACCAAGATACTCTTGGTGATCAAGACAAATATAAAATGATGATAGCCGGACTTAAGGTCCCGTGTGAAAAACCAGTGTCCTTCATCCAGAACTCGGGATAGCGAGCGCAAGTCATCATATTTGAATTTGGGTTTAACTAAACAATTATTGACATGCCTAAGATCAATAACAAGACGCAACTTCTTTCCTTCCGTGACTGTTAAAGGATTCACACAGAATGGAAGAACGACATGTTCAACAATACAACAATTACTAAGAAGCTCGGTAATTGCTTCTGCCACAAATTCTGGATGCTGAAGTGTGGATCTGTTGTTCTTTAGAAAGCACTGTGAGGGATACTGGGCAAATGGTAACCTGTAACCACATCTAATCATGTCAAGCACAAAATCTGAAGCATCTAATGTTTCAACCCAGAAGTTAAGCAAGGGCTTCAAGCGACCTTTGACACCATTGCTACCGCCTTTAACACTAAATTTGTTGCTACAGGAAGACAATAAATGTAAAAAATCGCACTCAACTTGTTGAGCATCAGCATCATCAGTGGTCAACGAACTGCCATCTAGTCAATCACAGTGAGCATTACTCTTTGAAGTGTCTGCAGGTTTCGTGCATGTCAAGCTCAAATGACCAAAATCTCCACACTGAAAAAAGGGAAACACACAACAGCATGAAAATAAAATCCACAACATAAAAATAAAAGAACAGTGGAGTAACGTGATAGGAAGATCACTAACTGACAACAGCTATATATACAATACGCAATTAATGCGTATTGTGTAACTGAAACACCTAACTGTATAACACAATAAGAAAACCAAATACAGAACGTGCAGAAAACAAATATCTGCTAAACTACATAACGCAGATATTTTGATATTCTGCACTAACCTAGTCTATAGAACGACATACAGCAAAACAGCAATTCATGGAGAATATTGGATTATGGTCTCAGTGTAACACCATAATCAACGAAGTAAAAAGAAAGCCAGTATAACGAGAAACAGTAGGCTACTTATCTTAAAACAAGGCCCCAAATGAAAAGCTGGTCTAGCTTCCGAACAAGAAACGAAATCTTTAGACGAGAATCTCGACGAAGAAGCTGCACGGAATGCAGAGGAGGAACTGCTTCCTTTCTCGTCAGAACGGACACGACGATGCTTCTCTTTATTAATTTTTCTCTCGGCTCTCCTCTCGGCCCAGTAAATTCTCTTGTCGTCGTCAGAGTCAGAGGTGAGTTTGTCTGGCAAATATTCGTTAACGGTCGCCCATCCAAATTCGCTCTTCTCATTTAGCTTAATGGCGTTAACAGGCTTGGAAACTAATTCAGTACCTTACTCCAGGGCAACTTTAAGTTTCTCGTACGATTTCTGCTTGAGAGCGTCAGATGCTTTGTCTAGTTTATCCAGCACTGGAGAGAATGATCCAACTGCTGCTGGTTTCCTTTCCTTTGGCAGGTATAATTATTGTTCACGCCGAGCTCTCTTGACTGCTTGTTCAACGGACGAGCTGTTCTCCTCATAAAATCGCTTTGCGAAGTCGCCAAGCCGAGATTCAATAACCTTAGTGAGGTTATCGGTTAAAGAACCCATCGATTCAGAAATGGTAGACTGTATAGCAGCACCGACAGAAGAATCTAAAACTCCATCGTTCCGACTACAACATGCCCTTCCTCAGATTCGTTCATGCTAAAGAACAGTGGAGTAGCATGTGGCGTTAGCAGACCCGAAGGAAGATCACTAACTGACAACAGCTATATATACGACACACAATTAACGCATATTGCATAACTGAAACACCTAATTGTATGACACAATAAGAAAACCAAATACAGAACGTGCAGAAAACAAATATCTGCTAAACTATGTACTGCAGATATTTTGATGTTCTTACACATGGGTTTTTACTGTATTTGTAAATTAATGACTGTTATAAAATTTATGCTCAGAATTTTATGCCCAGGCAATCGACTTTTCTGTTGTTGAGTCTTCCTACAGGGTTTTGAAGGTTTTAGTATCTCTATGAAGTGACGCAAAAGGACAATGACATCTGGTCTGAATAACACTAATCTGTCGAACAATAACCTGTCTGTTTATCTAATAACCAAATCACTGATGACTTGTTTTGGTAATGTTTGCATGGTTTTTATCTTCTGCAGGGTTTGGTTCCCTTGGTCTTATGACAAGTGTGCTTGTGTGTGGTGATGGGAAGACTATTGAGGCAGAGGCTGCCCATGGTACTGTAACAAGACATTACAGGGAATACCAAAAGGTTCAACACATGTCTAAACTCAAACATCATTGTAAGTTTATTTTCCTGTTGCAAATTTTGTTAAGTACTAAAGGTACAGGTGTTTATCTCCCTGGATTTCTAGGGCAATGAAACAAGTACCAATCCCATTGCTAGTATTTTTGCATGGACTCAAGGTCTGCGTCACAGGGCAAGACTTGACAAAAATGTTGAACTTAAAAGGTATGTGCCCAAGAACTTCGCAAAATGTAATTGAAGGGTTTCGTGCAAAAAGGGCATATGTGACGTTTTGGGCCCATTTTTATTTTTTGCAGGATCGAGCTAATTTTTGGCAGACTGACTTGTTTTGAAATGAAAAGCATCATTGCATAATTGTTTTTGTTGATTTGCACTCGTTTTCAAGAAATAATGTATGCGAAAAGACTCAGTTTTCTGAGTGGCATCTTTCGGAGGGAATCCTTCCAAGGTGGATTTTGACACAGTGCAAACTTAAAGGGTTACTTTTAGCAGCTTCGACAGCACGGTTTTTTTTTAAATAGATGTTTTGATTTTTGAAAGAAGTAGAGAAATAGACTGGAAAAAAAAATTGACCGACCTCGTATCGAACCGGTGTCATGACAAAACAAACTCGCATCCAGCCAGTTCAGCACCTTATTTGCTTGCGCTAACGAAGCAACAGTAAGAGAATTGCATAATTATATGAATAATAAAACTAGCTGCAAATACCACGCTTTGGTGACTTCATCGTTTAGCAAAACAAAGGTTTCTTTTGTTTTTCGCTCAACAAAAGATCTCCAAAAGATACCCTTGGAAAACTGAGTTTTTTGCATACGTTATTTCTCGAGAATGAAATGCAAATCAACGAAAACAATTATGCAACGATGCTTTTCATATCAAAACAAGTCAGTCTGCCAAAAATTAGCTTGATCCTGCAAAAAATAAAAATCAGCCCAAAACGTCACATACTCCCTTTTTGCACAAAACCCTTCAATTTATTTGTTGATTTGCCACAACACAATTGCAAAATTCAAAATGCACTTTACACTCAATATCCCCGGATGATCACCATAATCATGCAATATTTTTTTCAGATTCTGCAAGGCTCTAGAGAAGGCATGTGTTGATACTGTTGATTCTGGTGCCATGACTAAAGATCTTGCTGCTTGTATCTATGGACTTAGCAAGTAAGCTGAACAGAAAATAAGACTTTTCCAGAAAAAGTAACTTGGTAAACGTTTTTCATTTCATTCCAGAATTATCAGAATTAAGAGTTAGAATACACCTCAATTTTTCAAGAGCACACCATCCCTAAATTCTCTCTTATTCTCCACTATCAGAACCTTTCAGTCTTTCTAATTTGTTAATAGCTTGAGAAGTATTTTCCCAGAGAAAGCCTGAAATGTGAAATGCCAAACAGAGTTTTCAAGGGTAACCATTCCAAATATGAACAGCTGGTTACTTCATAGCCTGCAAATGTAACCTCTCATTGCTCCTGGCTAGTGAAGCATCTTTTAAGGGAATCCTTGAAACGTGAGATGCTTTATTTGTCAGTTGGCTTTGCTATCTATTTCCTAAAGATTAAATTGACTTTTTAAAGGTTTATTTAAAGGTACAGTTCTCAGCAGTGAAACTATATTTACATATTTGTGTATCACCAATTTTATCACTTTTAAATGGCCTGAGATCTCTTTTACTCTCCATGCAGACCCTCAAGGTGCAAAATTTTAAAAATATATTAGAGTCAGTGTTTCTCCTAATGATTTGGTTACGTACCGCTATTTTCATTGGAAGAACTAGTGAATATTCACATTATGCACAGTTAATTCATCAGTCCCAAGTTTTATGCAGGCTGATGAAGTTGATGTCTTTGCTACTTATAATAGCAAGCTTTAGGTAGCACTGCAAGAGCAAGATTGGGTTCAAGTATGACTTTCCAATTTCAGTCCAGTTGCCCTTTCAGAGCTGCAATTCCTCCTTATTGCTGTCACAATTTGATTAGAGAGATTAGACTGCACCTGGTGGTCAAAACCATGAGGCACTATGTTTGAAAGGTCACTATTATACCTACTACTTTTGATGAGAGTTTCATCATGTTTGCAAGATTTCATTTTTGCCTTGTGACTGATAGGACATGACAGGATGATATGAAGGAGCTTAAGTAATGATGACGGCAACCCCGAGGACAATGCCTAGTAAATAAACGGCATGCAATGCATGCAGAAGCAATGACCTTTAATGATGTCTTGGCCATCCTAGACATTACAAAAACAAACTACAAGGTACAAGGTGAATAAAAGCAACTAAAATATTTATTGGTTCAAAATGTGCATGGAGTAAGAAGAATCCTCCACCTCTTGCTCTAAAATGATGTGAAGATCTTTTCTCTTGCAGTTGTTCATTTTGGCGGTGACCCATACATAAAGTAAAAATTTCTGTGTGGCATCAACAGAGATTTTTGCCTTTCCTGACTTCTAATTATAATCAGCCATTTAACCATGTTTGCTGAAGTGCAGACCCATCCACCATTTGAAGGGCCATAGGCATATCCACCTTATGTCAAATTTTAGGTTATATTTTGCTTTCTTTCACTCTGAAATGCCAGAAAAAAGCTCAAAACAAGTGTCTGTTCCACAACAAAGAAAAGAAGTTTGTCTCACTGTAAGTTTTGAAAACCGTAATTTTGTCTTGACTTCAAAAAATGGCAAAATGTTGATTTCACATCAGTTGGCAACCTTAAAGATGCTTTTTTCACTTAAGGTGGCCCAATAGGCTAAAAAAATGATGATGTTCAGGAAGAAGGCAATGTTTTCAAAAACGTAAGATTTAAAGCCCTTGAACACTTGTTAAAAGCATTTTGAAACGATCTTGCTGAATTTGCCTCTAGTTGAGTGTGAAATTCAAGGAAAGTACACAGTGGTATGATTTTTTTTATGTAGCAACGGCCATAGCGACAGTTGTCTATGAGTCCTATGCCCCTTGTTCCTAGTCTTGATCAAGAATTTGAGTACAATTAGTACTGCAATTCAGATATAATTTCAACCTGTGTGGTATTTTGCAGAAAATGACATTTTTGCAAATTCTCAACCAAGAACAAGGAAAATTAGTGGGAGCCATGAATTCTTGGAAATAAAGGTCCAAAATGTTCGTAATAGATTGAAATTTGGTAAGATATCTAGGAAAGACCTATTGTGTACGAAAATGTAAAAAATGGATATCGAAAATTTGATCATGGGGGCACAAGAAAACAGTTAAATGTTGATTTCACATCAAGGCGAAAGCTCAGAGATGTACATGCATTGTTAGTTCCAGTGTCCATCAGCTGAGGTAGACTACGAGTAGTCCCTCTTTCGCTTAGTCCATCGTGCGTGACGCGAAAGAAAACTGCGAGAAAAAAATGGCCACGTGAAATCCTGGGGGCAAGGAGCGTGCGAAAGGAGGGACTACTGCCTAAACCCAAGAGTTTGCCCTTTCACAGCCAAGTGATTTTTTGGTGTAGGATTTCTCATCTTGACGTCCTCTTATTATTACCTGTTGTCAATAACCTCACGAGATATCCTGAATAAAATTGCTCTACTCTACTCTTCAAGTAGCCAGACAAAAACATATGCCTTAAGAAGTATATCTTCGTTCAGTGTTCGTTCAGCGAAACTGATAAAGACGTTTTAAAAAGAAGACGGTGAATGAGGCATCTTGTAACGATTTTCGCTGTGTCTGTAAGTGTAAATCTAGAATTTATTGCAGAAATTTCAAATGCAGAGTTTCAACCGAGAATTTACATTATTAATTTAAAGAATTCAGTGCCATCTAGATTTTTTACTGCTAATTTTTTACTTTCTTGGTTTCTCCAATTGAACTTTGCGAAGTCTCGGATGGTACAATGCTAAGTCGTTTGATACGATATTTTCGAAGTTTCAGTTTACGTAAATCAAGATGAATCCAGCATCATCATCTTTCTTGCCAAGAGTAATTGAGGTAGTACTTTTCGGCCCATGCTCTTAAAATAGCTTTTTACCGCTTTGTTTTTATTTTGTTTATGAAGTTAGGGTATAGACAGTAGGTAGTCAGTCTTTTGGTACAATAGCTTTGAATTTTCTGTTTTCTACATACATGCATGTGCGCATTCTGCGGCTGGAAGCTTACCCTTAAATTTTCTTCGCCATCCCACAAGTTTACCATTTTTACATCAGGAGTTAGAAGTACTTCTGGTTGCTTCATTCTACTGAAACCGGAAGCCATATGAGTCACTAGGCTCAAAAAGAGAAGTTTTTCCTTCCATATTTGGGTTAATTAGCTTACCCGACGAGTTCTGACAGTGAGCAATCAGCGGCGTAAAATCTGGATGGTGTGCCCTTAAAAAACACAAGGGTAGCATCTTGACAAGCACCTTAAAAAATAACGTCACATCTGTTGTGATGTGGGATGATTATCATAAAGGCAAGAAATCTGAAAATTTTTCTAGACCGAATGGTTTTGAAGGTCTTAGAAACTAGTTTTTGTTTCTTTCTTTCTTTTAGTATGTTTGTTGTTTTTTTTTATTCTGAAGTGCTCCAATTCTCTGCACCTAATTCTCTTTGAGGACAGCTGTATGTACTTCGTTGACGACATTAATCAATTTTGGGTCGTTAACTCGATAAATGAAACAGTTATCCAGTAATGTTCTGGAGAAAATACCCTAACAAAGCAACTAAATGTTTCTAGTTCTCATCGAGTTATTTTGCTCTTTTCGGCAAATAGGAAACTGCGAATTTGAGGGAAAATCTAAAAAACGACTACGGGTAGCAAAAATAACAACTTTGAAGTTACAAGGGTTGCTTTCTGTTAGTCTGAATGGCTTTCCGACAAAAAAATCATGGCTTATGTAGTTAAGTTTCAAGTTGCTACAGGATTATTTAAAAGCCCGATCCCGTACTTAACATTGTTCTACTATTGTACTTACTGTTCTGTTGTTTTTGTTTTGTTCAGTGTAAAGCGAGATCAGTACTGCTCAACTGAAGAGTACTTCGATGCTGTTGAGAAGCACCTCCTTGTGCTTTATCAGCCCTCTTGATATTCCTTGGAACTGATTTACTGTTTGCCTTGTATCCTGTCGATCACCAAAGCCACCGACAACAGTTGATACGGTTCTGCACCTTTCAGTATGATGTAGCATCGCACATGCATATCAAATATGCTATGTAATGTGATTATTACTTAAGTATTGTTCGCCTATGAACTGAAAAATTTTATACCTTAGTGTAGCTTGTAGTTAGGCCTTTACGACTCTGTGTGCATGGTTTCTAGCTGCAGAATTAGCAAAGCGTGACTGTGATCGATGTGGATGAAGTAAATTTTATTTTATAACTACATAGAAGTGACTGTTTTGTGATTTTAGACAATTAGACTCAAAAGGGATGATTACATAGAGAATTGCCGCTCGGGACAAGGTTTGGAGGCGAAGACTCTACCCCTGCTTCCAAAGCAAATCCTCTTGAAACAAGAAGATCTTTTTGTTCTTAAATCCGCGCTTCTAAAATTTAACTGTTTTCTTGGCACTACAGTCGCAACGCAGTGCACATTCCAAATGTGAATAGATCACTGTAGACACCACATCACTTAATCAGCACAAACTGTGTTATTGCACCTTCGCTCTTAGCCTTTGAAATCTGAAATTTTATTGTTTTTTTCCATGAGCAAAGGGCTAGCTATGGCAAGCCGTTTGTAGCAAAATTTAATCCTTGCGATATATGTTTAATCCTTTAAATAACCGTTTCATTTAAAGATAGAAAAAGGCATTCTATCCAATGGTAAATAAAATTTTTGGTTCAATTCAATCTTTTAATTTTCACGATTCAATCCAATACCTGGAATATTGATTCAATCCAATACC